TCTTAATTTATTTTCCAAAGCCTTTTCCCTGTTTAAAGTCATTTTCTTTTTTGTAGATGAATAATATATAGTCATACCTCTAATTTCTAGCAGTAGCATTTCCCATAACAGTTGATCATTTATGGTATATCTTGTTTCTTCAGCTTTTGCTTCCGTTTTAACTTCATATTGTTGTAAGGTATTCTTTATTGTAGTTTTTACTTTTTCAACATATTTTTCATCGTGGAGTAGAGAGTTATTAAACTTTCAAAATCCTTTCCCTCTTATCGTATCTCCCAAAGATAATGATAGTGAGATTATTGAGTGGTCCGAATTAATGCTTGGGGATATATATCTATTTGTGTAACTGCCTGTAAGAGATTATGTGATACAAGGAAAAAATCTAGCCTAGATTGTTTAAGCGGGGTTGGTTGTCTCCAAGTGAAACGTTTTTTATACGGGTTTGATTCTCTCCAGGGGTCTTTCAAGTCTAATAGAGTTATAATGTTTAATAGTTCTTGTCTGGCTTTGGGGTTATTCGTGTGTTTGTAGTTGTAGGTGTCTAAGTCACTGTCTAATACCATGTTCCAGTCTCCACATATTATAAATTTATCGTTTTCTTGTTGTTTTAACATATTTTTGATATTTATAATGAACTCGGGGCAATCTTTATTAGGTCCATATACATTAATAATTGTGTAGTCACTGTCATGTATTTTTACTCTCAGTAGAATATAATTTCCATTATCCATATCAATTTGTTTACCTGTAACCTTAAATTCAAAATTGTTATTAAATAGAATAGCTGTTCCCCTTGCATTGCTTCGGAAATGGCTGAAATAACATTCACTATAGCCCCATTGCTGTTTAATGAGCTGTTCTTGCTCAGTAGTGAAATGAACGTCTTGAAGACAGAATATGTTAGCCTTTTTTAGCCTTAAGAACCTGAATACCTGTTTTCTTTTAAAAGCATTATTGAGACCTCTGCAGTTAAGAGACAGAATTTTTAGATTTTCCTTATTTACATTTTGTTTCATTAATTATCTTACAATGATTTGCAGTAGAAGGAGATGGTTTGGATGACCTTGCAAGTTCTTGGGATGAGTAATAAAGCATCTACAGCAGCAAACATACATTTGGGAATTTTTTTGGTACAACAAAAGTGAACAAAAGATATAACAGTAAACAATATATATATGTGTACATTTCCGACTTCCGTCCTATAATGCTGATAAAGCATATTCTAAGATGCCTAGCTGTTAGAACAATCGAAAAAAAATACATTATGAGACAATAAAGGTATAGTTTTTTGATGACGTAACAATTGAATGACGTTATCCCGTCACTGCGCCATTCTAGTGTGCCCCCTCGTAATCGAATTATTTTTACATTACGTCACAATGTAAGTGACGTCACGATGCATGTCAGTTGTCATCGCTTCGTACGGCCTCCTACAGTAAACTACTCCGTTGCATCCCGTTTCTTGGTTTGCAGTTGTTTCACGCAGCTAACATCACTGGTGGAAACATTACGTTTATGTTTTACGACGGTCAAAATGTGTCAATTCGACTCACAAGTTTTCAGCGACACGGTAACGTTTCGCAATGTTTACATTCCCACAATGCAATCGTGGAATGTCGCTTTTGACTACTCCGCTTCATCTGGATGTACTGATCTAAACTTAGGTTGGTAGTAGAAATGCGACGCTGATATTGCCCCATATGGTTTACGTTAATGACAGATGTAATTAAAATAATTCAGAGAAGATATTAAATCGAACGTAAACCGCCATCAAACTGTTATCATTTGTGTTTTTCTGGTAACGCTCGCTTAACGAGGGGGCAGACACATCAATAGAACAGCGCATCAGTTAGCCCCTGTGCGAGGATTCTTAATTTAGGTTACCGACACCGTCATTTGTTTTCTGCCTTAAATTAATCGAATTATCCTTAGAAAGTATTAAATTTAGCATCTTAGAAAGATGTAAAGCTCGCTTCTCTCATCGTGTTTTGTAATTGTAGTATAGTTTTGCCCTGAACTATTATAACATCAAAAGCACTCGGACTACCGCCCTCGCGTGCTTTAATTATAATAGTTCAGGCAAAACCATACTTTATTACAAAACACATTGGGGTAAAGCGAACTTTACATCTTTTCTAAGATGCTAAATTTAATACTTTCTAAGGATAATTACGATTAATTTAAGGCAGAAAACAAATGACGGTGTCGGTAACCTAAATTAAGAATCCTCGCACAGGGCTACCGACGCACTACCGTCCTCGTGCTTTAATTATAATAGTTCAGGGCAAAACTATACTTTATTACAAAACACATTGGGGTAGAGCGAACTTTATTTCTTAAATATACATCTTACAGCCTTTTCCGTCCGTTTTAATTATAGTTTGTTTTCATTTTTTATGAATCCACTTTAGTTTGGGCTCTGGTTCTGTGATATTACTGATATTAACAGTGGCATAGCTTTATGGATCATTTTTTCTTCAGTTCCCCAATTTCGTGCATATCGCATTTCTACAAAGGGCCCAGGCCATGTCACGGTATCAAATATAATCCATGGTACATAATATTACTAACAATTACATATGTAATTTTTGTTTACTTCAATTATAATGCCCACATTTATATTTCCCAGTATAAGTTGTTGAAAGTGAAAGGCATAATAATAATAATATAATATTTCTATACCAATTGTGGTACCATGGCAGTTAGATACGTATTTAGTGGAATCAAATATTTAATACTTAGTATGGCAGCTACTTTGAATGACATAAAGTGGCAATTTAAAATGTTTACCCTGAGGGTACAATTCTTTTCAATGATTTTTCACTGTATCAATGAAAACAAATAATCTACCAGTTAGGTTTAAATGAATGAATCGTATTCCCCTGGTGAAGAAAGATTGATTTTGACAACCACAATAACAATTGCTTTACATCATCAAAATTGGCATTTTCTCACATGCCAGCAGTTGTCCATACTTTTGGACAATAATCGAGCATAAATATTGCAAATTAATAAGCATATTTTTGTAAAAATTAAGCGAATGTTCCATGGTAGTTTCTTGAATCCATAAATAATCAAATATACATAAATGTCAATAATTTTCTTTTAACATAGTACACACTTGTGTGTAAAGACCAATTTAACTAATCCTTATCGAGAATACTAAAACATACCAAAATTTACTTAACGTAAAACATAAAATACTAGACTATCCTCATTTTGGCAAGGACAGGGGTTGTATTTCTTCACCCACATATGTTTTTAGCTCAATGTACACCAACATACAATTGTTCTTACTTTTGGACAGTAATCAAGCTTGTGTGTTATTGAATAGTAAAACATATTTCTTATTGCGGTATAGTCAATAGTCTTTTACAACTTCTACTATTATACATGTTATAGGGATTGAGCAGTAGCATGTCTCTTTTACATTAGTACAAGAGAAGTGGGGGGAAAACTTTGGTTTCTGTCAACAGTATATATAGAATATGATATGACAGTCCTGTTCTATTACCAAAACGAGGTAACAAGTTATTATTTTCCTCCGGGTATTTATGATTTCTATGCAAATTTAATAAACCATTATAACATAAATTTCTATAGTAGTTTCATGAACCAATGACTAACCAAATGTACAAAATTATCATGATTTCCTTTAAAATAGTCAACGAAAATATAGGTATAACACTATCTTATAACCTGGTACACCTTTGGCGTACTGTATAATATATGAATTGTCCTCATTTTGACGGGAATATAAGGTATATCACATAGCCAAGATATGATTTTGACTCAGCACAGACCAGCATACTATTCCTATCCATACAAAGGTAATGCATTTTACTTTACTGTATTTGCTTTAGAAACAATATTACTTTCTATACTGCACTGCACATTTAGGGAGGCTAGTACACACAAACACACCCATAGACAAATGTGCCTACGTATACATACGTACACATACACACATAGATATAATAGGTAGATAGGTATCCAGAGTACATTTTCATAGCAGTTTTATGAACCAATGACTGACCAAGTGTACAAACTTGTCAATGATTTCCTTTTAAAATACTCCACATTTATAGGAAGATATAAGTATCACACGTCTTTATTCGGAAATATCTTGTCTAGCATGGTAGACCCCTAGCGTAATGCGTAGAATGATAATCTGTCCTCGTCTTGACGAGAATAAAGGGTGTATCATATCGCCAAGATATGTTTTTGACTCAGAACAGACCAACTTACAATTCCTATCCATATATAGGTATTGCGTTTAGCTTTACAGTATTTACTTTAGGAGGGGTATTACTTTCTATACTATACTGCAACGTTTAGGCAGCCCGGTATCGCTAAGCTATGTTTTTGACTCAGCATACACCAACATACTATTTCCGTCCATACAAAGGCAATTCATTTTACTTTACTGTATTTGCTTTAGAAGCAGTATTACTTTCTATACTGCACTGCATGTTTAAGGGGATTAGTACACACAAATACACCCATAGACATATATATATATAGATATAGTAAGTAACTAGGTGTCCAAAGTACATTTTCATAACAGTTTCATGAATTGATGGCTAACCAAGTGTACAAAATTGTCAATGATTTCCTTTTAAAGTACTCCACGTTTACAGGAAGATATAAGTATAACACGTCTTTATCAGGAAATGTCTTATCTAACATGGTAGACCCCTAGCGTAAACTCATCCATGTCTTGTTATGGAATTTGTAATGACCCGTCTTGTGCTGGGATTATAAAGTGTCTGGATGGTCTTTTTGTCCATTTCACATTGTCATTATCATGATTATACCACAGTGGATAACTTCTTTAAGAATCATTTCAGAAGTTAGGAAGTACAATACTGACAAATTTATAGATAATATCTTCTTTTATAGTGTGAGTTTGACAGATTCTTGCTAGACAATGGTACAAGAATCTGAATCGAAAGATGGTTGATATTCCCATGATGCAGTTCTACATTTTGGCTGTTAAGGAACGGAGTTCCGGCAGAACCGACTGTGGGACGAGGAAGTTTCAACTCCAGAGGGTCTGTGTTCCGTACTGAAGGACCCACTCATGCGACAGCGTTACATGGTCGACGCAGACCTCCAGACCAGCACGCTAGACTCCATTGTCAACTCCTCGTGTAAAGTTGATCTCCATGGCAACATCATTCCATCAGCTCTTGGAGGCAAGCGAAGGGTGGACTATGTGATTCACCGTAAAAATGTTTCTGTAAGTTTGATCTTGATGAAATGTAGTGAAGCGTCATTAATTTAGTAGGCATATAAATACACCTGACTTCAACTAAAAATATAAAGGGTCTCAAGTCGTAACCTTTGGTCAATAACGTGACATCTACTTGCCTGGTGACAATCCATCCATCATAAGCTGTAACATTTTCAAAGTTTACCTCTGAAACTCTGATCTGATTATAAACATGAAAATTCAATTGTACCCACCAGTCAACCATAACATATGTATTGCATTTTCCAATATATTGCATTTATTTAATAATTGTATTTTTTACACACTTGGCTGACAAGCATAAATGCAGTGTTGTTGAACTTCCATTCCCTGTTTTGACATATTCCCGTTGACCACGTGTACTGTGTCAGTGTAAAATTACATTCTCATGTTATTGATATTGGGTATTTATCGTCACAACTTTGTATTTCCAGAGAGCATCAAAGTACAAGTTTGTGAGTCGCTTGGCAACCTTGACTGACCATATACCAGTGGCTCTCACAGTGGAAACTTGACCATGTAACGTGTCCATGGAAACACGTTATAAACTTGACCATGTAAAGTATTACCATGGAAACGTGGACTGCTTTCATCTACAGCATCTACAGTAGACCATGGGTGTGACTGTTTCTTGTTTATAAGAATGATAATTTATACTTATCAGAGTTTTTTATCTTTTTAACTGCAGTATTCTTTGTTTACTTTGTGTATAAGCTTGTTGTGTTAATTGACTTATAAAGTGAGTGAGGGAATTTTGTGTGTTTACAAGTGGGAGGATGAGGATTTGATGCATTATTTAGTTCATCTGAGCTGTGAGCTGACGGGACAAACTACTTGATATGCCGTGGGGGTTCAGGTATTTCATGGAGTTTTTGTCAAATATATCTTCCTGGTTAAGACGTAAATCATTAGTTTGTCCGATTATGTCAATTAACAGAATTACTGTTTGTAAGCAATGATAAAATTATTCTGTTTCTTGCTAAAGTCCCATACCTTGACCCCTAGAATATTTGATGTTGTGTGCCTCAGTGTGAATGTTTCTTACAAACATAACAGCATTTTAGAACATGTATACATATTTCTTATACAGTGAGTGAGTGAGTTAAGATTTATAGTCACATCTGGAATATTTCGGCCATATGGTGACTTTTCTTATACAGTCACGTGATGGCCGATGGTATATGGGCAATAACAATTATAGAGGATCTCTGTTTCCTCCATACCTCCCTGAGAGCTTAGAACCAAACTTGGTGATCTGAAGAGATCACATATATACCGGTACTTGTATGATTTTCAGTTGACAGCCAGACATCTATGATTTACATATGGTTCTGTCATCTGCAAGATTTAACAATTTTATTTAAAATCAGTTTTCTATGACTGAACAATTCTTTTGTTAAATATGTATACATATATATTTTGAGAATTAAAAAAATCATGATTACAGACATAATGTTGTTTAGTCTTTGTTGAATTCCTGACATTCCTGACACCATAGAGACCAAATATCATAGTTTTTCCAACTTACGAAGCATGTACACACTGGCACTAAATATGTATGCCAGAAAGAGTAGTGAGAGACACAACTGAGTGAGTTTAGTTTTACCCCGCTTTTAGCAATATTCCAGCAATATCACAGCGGGGGACACCAGAAATGTGCTTCATACATTGTACCCATGTGGGGAATCGAACGTCTTCAGCGGACAAGCAAACGCTTTAACCACTAGGCTACCCCTCCGGCCCAAGAGTGTGTGAGTGAGTTTAGCATTACTCCGCACTCAGCAATATTCCAGCTATATGGCGGCGCCGCCCCAAGAGGCACAACAAGGAACATTGAACTGTAGGGCTTTAGACCATTAGGTATGCTTTCCTTGATCTCTTAATGACTTCCAAGGTTACAGTAATTCAGGATAAGATGAATCTGCAAAAGAAATTCCTAGGATCATGTTCAGACAATGCCATAAAGCAAATGTAAATTAAAATAATTCTATCACAAACACCAAGGTTTACATCCAGGTCAGAGAACCATCCGGAATCCAAATTGCCTCACAAAATGTCTGTGTCTATGTTTTGAAAGTTCAATCAAATACGAATAGGATATAGATCATCCCAAACTGGCTCCCACAGTAGATATTTCACATCACTAGAACACAGTTGACAATGCTATGATGTCACAAAGTTGATGGCATCACAATTCTATGATGTGATACAGATGATGATGTCACACTGCTATGACATAACTAAGATAACTGCTAAAGAAGCCTAATGGCAGTTTTGTGTTCAGATAAATTCATTCTTTTACTGATGAAGAATGATTTGGGATGATAAAAAATTCTCCCCCCCTCGTGTCTTCTGATATCAAATATATCGTTGATTAAAGTAAAAATATCCTCGGCAAAACTCAGATATTTGTAACTTTAATCAACTCGTGTTGATATATTTGATATCAGAAGACACGAGGGTGAGATTCTTTATGTCCTAATAAAAGCTCAGTTTTAGCCATTAACCAAAGGTATCTGCTAGACATGAAACTAAAGTGGCTTCAAGGAACATTCAAAAACTTGTTTTTACTGGACAGTAGATTTTACATCAGTAACAGTGAATATTTCCCATCGAAGCTGACCGCACAAGCATAGACTAACAACTAGTCTCTGAAATGAAAATATTTTACAGAGAAATTGCTCATAATACAAAAAAATATAATGGAAAGGAGCCCTGAGGCTGTGGAAATCTAGACTTGCCACATTTTCTAGACTTGCGTGGGCTTTCTTGAATATATTTACTTCAGGGTCTGTACGACAGACTATGACAAGCATAACAGTGGAGCAAGATGTATAAATGAATAACTGAAAACAATATGCCGTATTTGCGGAATACATACACTAGTTGAAACGAGCTAAAACATAACGGTTTCAGAATTATTACATTTTTTATTTAGAGGTTTGGTTTGGTTTGGTGTTTTACGCCACACTCAGCAATAGTCCAGCTATAATGGCGGCGGTCAGTAAATTATTGAGTCTGGACCAGACAATCCAGTCATCAACAGCATGAGCATCAATCTACGCAACTCGGATACGATGACTTGTGTCAACCAAGTCAGCAAGTCTGACCACCCAATCCCGTTAGTCGCCTCTTATGACAAGGATGAGTTACTGAAGATCAATTTTAACCCTGATCTCTGCGGTTTTTTTTAGAAGAAGCTTTAGGCTTCTAGTGACCTGACCTTTCCTACATCAATATATGTAAACGTAGTCATGGTATTGGTTAATGAAACATTGTGCACAGTCAGAAACATGACCTTTGGCATTCGTGAGGCTGACATGGCCACAAACATCACTTTGCCCATCGAGAAACATCCCATTACATGTCCGGGATACCGTTGCAAGAAACAACCTTGGCGCTACGACTGTGGCGTAAGTCTATGTTAAGGCATGGGAGTTACGATCAACTTAACCCTACAACTGTCTTAAGTCTATGTTAAGGTATGGGAGTTACGATCAACTTAACCCTACGACTGTCGTAAGTCTATGTTAAGGTATGGGAGTTACGATCAACTTAACCCTACAACTGTCGTAAATCTATATTAAGGTATGGGAGTTAAGCACCTTAACCCTACGACTGTGGCGTAAGTCTATGTTACGGTATGTGTGTTACGATCACCTTAACCCTACAACTGTGGCGTAAAGTCTATGTTACGGTATGTGTGTCACGATCACCTTAACCCTACGACTGTGGCGTAAGTCTATGTTACGGTATGTGTGTAACGATCACCTTAACCCTACAACTGTGGCTTAAAGTCTATGTTACGGTATGTGTGTTACGATCATATTAACCCCACGACTGTCGTAAGTCTATGTTAAGGTATGTGTGTTACGATCACCTTAACCCCACGACTGTCGTAAGTGTGTTACGATCACCTTAAGGGTGAGATCACGTTTTGCAACGGCACCCAATAGCGTTGCTGTGCTCAGACTTTGACCTTGACACAGTAGTTCAGTACGTGGCCTGTAACTGGCCTATGTCATGTCTGTTTCAACTGGCAACTCGAATCTGATTGTGTGTGGAGACGGATGTCCCCCCGGAATGGTATACCTGTCATTAGACTGTAAGTGCTTGCCGTATAACGATTCTAGGTGTGCCAGCACCATACCTCTCTTCCTGGCTTTCACCAAGGAGGTAAACGTCCAAGACCAGATTTAATCGCCAGCACACAAAGTCAGCCATCTAATCCGCTCAGCCGGCTTCCCCTGTGTGTGCTGGCGCTTAGGTGCCTGATTCTGAGAGTTTGAGTTCGAATCCCGGATGGGACTCAACCCAACAAAAGTACTAGAATCTGATCTTTACTGAGAAAGTGTAAACCCAAATAACATAAATTAGACATTAATATACCTGTAGGAGTGTTCAAAGCGGAGGTACACTCAACTCTCTCACTCACCAGCGGTTCTGCGAGTTAGGTACAGAATGAGACACATGCATACCCGGAATCCTGCAGCTCCCCACACGTCCAGTCTTACGGGTCTATTGAGTGGATCACGAGTCAAGATAACTGGTCTATGGTGCCAGTTAGTTAGACATCACGCCAACTGGATTGCCACTGAGTAGTTGTCTGTTCTGTCGACAGGCGAGCCATGTTACTGTCTGTAGCTTCACCTTACTAGATCTCCTTAGTTGACAAGTGTAGAACGTAATCTGTAAAGTACTGTAATGGTCTATCATACAGACGCTGACACAAATATATACCACTTGGCCTGTGGCTTCCACTAAAATCACGTTAGCGAGTGAGTGATATCGGTTTTACGCCGCTCTGGGCAACAATGGCAGGGCGGGAGACTCCAGTAATATAGATCTGCTAACCAGTTAGATCAGGGTCCGGATTGTTACAGACCACAGTTTTCTCAGATCAGTCCTAACCCTGAGATGCCACGTGGTTCGTCAGCGCTGGCATGCAGTACATCAAGCAAGCCAATAACAGTCGGCACTCATGTTCACCCAGGGACATTTCGTCGCCAAACACTGTGTGTGGGTCTTTGTGTATCGGGAAGACAAGGCGCCGATTTAGATCCATACATTATTATTTCATACATCTCACAGCTCAGTTCAGTAATCGGAGAGTGTTCGGCAATTGTAAATGTTATGTTTGTCAGACGAAAGCAGTTGGTAGGTGTTTGGGCATTATCTGCTACGTGTATATTATTCATTTTCATTCCTCATCTGTTACTTGTATACCCGTCACCTCTGACGTGTATATCCTTCATCATTCACATACATATCCTTCATCATTCACATGTATGTCCTTCACCTGTTACATGTATGTCCTTCACCTGTTACATGTATGTCCTTCACCTGTTACATGTATATCCTTCACCTGCTACATGTATGTCCTTCACCTTTACGTATACACCTGTTACGTTATGTCCTTCACCTGTTACATGTATGTCCTTCACCTGTTACATGTATGTCCTTCATCTGTTACGTGTATATCCTTCACCTGTTACGTGTATGTCCTTCACCTGTTACATGTATATCCTTCATCTGTTACGTGTATATCCTTCACCTGTTACATGTATATCCTTCATCTGTTACGTGTATATCCTTCACCTGTTACGTGTATATTCTTCACCTGTTGTGTGTATATTCTTCACCTGTTACGTGGATATCCTTCACCTGTTACGTGTATATCCTTCACCTGTTACGTGTATATCCTTCACCTGTTACATGTATATCCTTCATCTGTTACGTGTATATCCTTCACCTGTTACGTGTATATCCTTCACCTGTTACGTGTATATCCTTCACCTGTTACATGTATATCCTTCACCTGTTACATGTATATCCTTCACCTGTTACATGTATATCCTTCATCTGTTACATGTATATCCTTCACCTGTTACATGTATATCCTTCACCTGTTACATGTATATCCTTCCTTCACCTGTATATCCTTACTGTTGTATATCCTTCACCATTTACGTGTATATCCTTCACCTGTTACATGTATATCCTTCACCTGTTACATGTATGTCCTTCACCTGTTACGTGTATATCCTTCACCTGTTACATGTATATCCTTCACCTGTTACATGTATATCCTTCACCTGTTACGTGTATGTCCTTCACCTGTTACGTGTATGTCCTTCACCTGTTACATGTATATCCTTCACCTGTTACGTGTATATCCTTCACCATTTACGTGTATATCCTTCACCTGTTACGTGTATATCCTTCACCTGTTACATGTATATCCTTCACCTGTTACGTGTATATCCTTCACCTGTTACGTGTATATCCTTCACCTGTTACGTGTATATCCTTCACCTGTTACATGTATGTCCTTCATCTGTTACGTGTATATCCTTCACCGTTTACGTGTATATCCTTCACCTGTTACGTGTATATCCTTCACCTGTTACGTGTGTATATTCCTTCACCACCTGTTACGTGTATATTC